AGCTCTAGTACCTCCAGAACCAGTAGCACCTCTAGTACCTCCAGCACCAGCAGCACCTCCAGCACCTCCAGCAGCACCTCCAGCACCTCCAGCACTAGCAGGGCCTCCATGACCAGCAGCTCCAGCACCTCCAGCACCAGCAGCTCCATTACCTCCAGGACTAGCAGCTCCAGTACCTCCAGCACCAGCAGACTCAGCTCCAGAGTCCACAGCAGCAGGCTGCGGAGGCGGCGAAGACAGCCTAGGGGGAAAACTAGGGGGGGTCTTCAAGCGTGGAGAGAGGCGAGTGGCCGCCGTGTCGTCAGCGGTGGGGTCACCCCCCTCAGTTGGGCCAGAGGAGTCAGAAGAGATCTCTAAAGGCTCAACCAAGGGGGGTGGGTCTACCTGAGACACACTTGAGGGAGCAGGACCCTGTGGGGGGAGGGGGTTGACCGGGGGGGGGGGGACTGGTACCAGGAAGAGAGGTGCGAAGGGGACAGGGTGGGACGCGTGCGGGTGAAGCCTGTAGAAACAGACAGACTCGTCAAAGGTGACGTCCTGGGAGGAGAAGACTCGACGTGAGCTCGGGTGGTAGAACTGCCACGGCGGGGCGTCGATGGGGAAGCCAAGGAAGATGCAGCAAAGAGTGCGAGGGGAGAGCTTGCTCGCAGTGGTATCGCAAACAAGGGAGAGCGCGCCCCAAACTTGAAACACCGACGCATCGCCAACCTTTCCCGTCCAACGGAGTGTGGGCGAGGTCTCTGGCAAAGAGACACGGGGCCAGAGGTTGAGCTGATGCGCAGCGTATCAGATCGCAAGCGGCCACATAAAATGGGGAGCAACCGCATGGATCATGGAGGTACGAGCAACCTCCATGATCAAGCCAATGCGACGCTCAGCAATCCCATTTTGCTGAGGAGAGGCCGGAAGCGTGAACGACTGGCGGATGCCCTCGTCTCGACAGAACTCCGCAAGGAGGTCAGAAGAGAACTCACCGCCCCTGTCAGAGTGCAGACGCAGGACTAGCAAGTCCCGACTAAACCGATCGCACAGGTGGCAACGAGTAGCACGGATCCAGGGGATCAAAACACCGCTGACGCCCGCCTTGCGACGCAAGGGGAAGACAGTGGTGTAGCGTGTGTAGTCGTCAACAACCAGCAGGAAGTAGCGCTCCTGGTCCGTTCCACCGACGGGGGCCGGGCCCCAAACGTCCATGTGGAGAGTCTACAGAGGAGCAGTGGTCGGAGGAAACTCGGAGGAGTGAGGAGTGGCGCGCTGCCGCCCCTCGACGCAGGGAAGGCAGGGCGGTGCAGGCGAGCGCGGGAGGGAGGGCAGGGACCTGGGAAGCCCAGAGACAAGGAGACGGGAGTGCATGCTGCGGAGACGCGGTAGTGAGGGGTGACCGAGGCGGTGGTGCCAGAGGAGAGTCTGGTGGGAGAGTACCCGACACGAGCAAGACGCTGCAAGTTGACCAGACGTAGATAACTAACTCGACGCAGTCACTTGACCTGACTCGGCCACCTGTGCAGACGCAGTGGTCAGTGTGTACAGACTAGACCCAGGCCGTCGAGTGAACGTAGCTAGGTGACGGCCATTCTGGGAGCACGTACAGATCGCCACACGCTGCCCTCCTGGAGTAAAGGTGTCAACCCATACATCCTGAAGAGCAGCGTTGCTCACCAATTTCGTGGAGAACGTGGGGAGGTGGAGACCTGGCAGAGAACCGGAGGGGACTGCTGGACACGGAAGGACAATGGAGGCTCGTGCGACTACTGGGCCCCCAGTGGGGTCGGCAAGTGAGACTGGTACCGGTGCAGCTAGTGGTGTGAGTGTGGTGCAGTCACGAAAGAAACAACGAGACGCGCCAGAGTTAAGTGTGAAAGTGTGAAGGGCCTCAGCGGAGGCAGCAGACTCACTAACACCTAGTGCTGCAGCAGTAGCTGGGGAGGAGTAGCGAGCTACAACAACGTCATAGAGGGCCTTGGCTGTTTTCTGCTGGCTAAAGTGCGCACGCTCAGCTACGGGCAGATGGTTGCGGACAGTAGGGTGGGCAGTGGCGTCACGCATGAGCCACTTCGAATGATCCTCTAATGCTGTAGCAACTGGAGCTGGGAGGGTTCCTTCGGTATGCACGAACAGTGAAATTCCGTCCCTAGCCTCGCTCTGCAGGTACAGCTGGAGATCATCGAGCCAAACATCAAAGCTAATCGCGCGACCCTCAGCGTCAAACGTAAGAACTGAGAAGTTAGCCATAGCTGCAGTAGCAGTAGCAGTAGCAGTAGCAAGAGGAGTTGCAGCAGCAGTGGCAGTAGCAGCAGCAGACTCAGAAGCAGGTGGCGCTACTGGGGCAGGGTGGCGCGGCTCAGCATGGCGGCGCGGTTTGGCAGGGCGGCGCGACTCGGCAGGGCGGCGCGACTCGGCAGGGCGGCGCGGCTCGGCAAGGCGACACGGCTCGGGCTGGGCAGGGCGCAGCAGCAGTAGCAGCAAAAGCAGCGGCAGTAAGGAGCAGCAGCAGCAAGGAGCGACAGCTGCAGCAAGTAGCAACAGCAGCAAGGAGCAGCAGCTGCAGCAAGTAGCACCAGCAGCAGCACATAGGAGACGACGCACAGCAGCAGCAGCGCGCGGGCTGTGTGCGTGCAGGCAGCGCAGGTAGCGGCAGCAGCTCAGGCGCAGCAGCAGGACCACTTGCAGCAGCAGTAGCAGCAGCAGCGCATTTGGCAGCAGCAGCTCAGGCACAGCAGCAGGAACACTTGCAGCAGCAGTAGCAGCAGCAGTGCGTTCAGCAGCAGCAGTCGCGCTCAGCAGCAGCAGCAGGTAGCAGCAGCAGCGCATGCAGCAGGAGGGGCCGCGCAGGTGACAGCAGCAGCAGCGCACAGCAGGGCGCAGGCTGCTGGCGGGCAGCGCGAGTGGGCAGGGGCGCAGTGGTGCTCGCGGGCAAGAAGCGCGCTCGCGGGCGGGCAATGCGCTAGGCAGCAGGCAGCGCGATTGCGGGCAGGGCAGGGCAGCGCGATCGCGGGCAGGGCAGGGCAGCGCGATTGCGGGTGGGGCAGGACAGCTCGATCGCGCTAGAGGGGCAGCACGAAAACAGCGTAGCGGCAGCACTAGGGGCACTCGTGGGGATAAACGATCATTGCGCTCTCAGGGTAGCGCGCTACAGGCAGTTATATCCTAGCGTGGAGGGCCCAAGAACACTAGGAACGGACTAGGAAGGTACCTAGACTCTGAAACCATGTTAAGAGTATCGAGAAAAGTGATGGTCGATTAGGTTGGGGGGGGGGGTACAAGATTGTCGAGAAAATAGTTGTACCCTCTAAGGATAACCCCTACATAGCCTAGACAAACTAGAAACATATAATGTTTTGACAAAAATCAGGTTGGGTAAACTCTATGAATAAACATTGCCAAGAAGCATGATCTGTACAGTGTCAAATTAGGCTCATAACTTACAGCTTAGTTACCTAGGGTTTTGGCTAGGAAACTTGAGTATTGAGAGGAAGGTTTGGCAAAAGAGGATGATTGATTAGAAAGGAAGGTACAAGTAGGAGAAAGGGTGGACAAGATGGTGCACCACCAACAATAACAGTAACACTACACAGTAACTACACTAGCAGGCAATGATAAGAAATTGACAATTTCTAACACACCCCCTAACTGCCTGCAGTGGGAGCCACGTGCAGAGACACCAGATCAGAGTAGCACAGTAGGTGTACAGTGGCAGAGGCACCGGTGGCAGGTGTGGCGGTGGTAGGTAGACTTCACTCCCGCCACCCCCTCACCCTCCTCCCCCACTGCAGTAGGTGTGGCAGTAGGAGGCGGCTGTTGCTGAAACGCGGGGAGGCGGCTGCTGCTGAAACACGGGGAGGCGGCTGCTGCTGAAGCACGGGGAGGCGGCTGCTGCTGAAACACGTCCACCACCCCCTCACCCTTCCCCCACAGCAGCAGGCGCAACCGTGAGAGAGGAGGAGGCGTGGCGGCAGCTGCTGTTGCTGAAACACATCCGCCACCCCCTCACACCCTCTCCCCCCCCCAAACTGCTGCACACGCAGCAGGGAGATAGAGGAGAAGGGGGGGGGGGGGATGGGGGGGGGGGGGGGGGGGGTTATGAGCTGCGCGTGCGACTGCAGGGCGCGCGGGCAGGCAGAAACTGTCGCGCGCTCGAGGCGCGCGACGGGCAGAAACCGACGCGCAGCCGGGGCGGGCATCGGGCAGAAACCGTCGCGCACCCGGGGCGCGCGACGGGCAGGAACCGATGCGCAGCCGGGGCGCGCATCGGGCAGGAACCGACGCGCAGCCGGGGCGCACGTCAGGCAGGAACCGAAGCGCGCCCAGGGCGCGCGACGGGCAGAAACCGACGCTCGCCCTGGGCGCGCGACGGGCAGCTTGACGGACTGCGCCATAGTGGAAGCTAATGGTGGGCCCAAAGATGAAGGCTCTAGGAACGAACCTGCTCTGATACCATGTCAAATTAGGCTCATAACTCACAGCTTAGTTACCTAGGGTTTTGGCTAGGAAACGTGAGTATTAAGAGGAAGGTTTGGCAAAAGAGGATGATTGATTAGAAAGGAAGGTACAAGTAGGAGAAAGGGTGGACAAGATGATGCACCACCAACAATAGGAGTAACACTACACGGTAGCTACACTAGCAGGCAGTTATAAGAAATTTACAATTTCTAACATATAGATATGTTTTCTTCTTATGCGATTGTAGCTCAGCAGCTCAGCTCCTTTGTCAACCCTAGTAAAGGGCATTTGCGTGGAGAGATTACAGTAGTTACAGTCAAATTTACTAAAGGACGCAATGTTAGGATAGGTACACCTAAGTGAGCTGTACACTCCATAGGTAAAAACCGAGCCATCACACTAGCATATCAAACTGGGCTGGACCATTTCCCCGGGTCAAAAGTACAGGTAAGAGTTTGTATTTAGTTTGGACAATAAAAAAAATGGGTCAGTTTGTACACGATTCATAGTACAGCAGAAACTCGGTGTATTTGCGGTGGTAAGAGCGATGCTGGTCGGTCTCACTTGGCAGGAGGAGGGAGGATGTAGAGAAGATAGTGAATGAAGGCCCTCACATGCGCTTCCCCCACCTCCCCCACCACCACATCCCCGTCATCAGTTGCCACCACGTTCGAGTAATGGTGGTCGTCGGGAATAGCTGTGTCAAGGTACCGAGGCGCGTCGATTTGCCACGTGTCCAGAACTGTGGCTGCTCCTGCTGGTACGTCGATGTTGCTCCGCTCCTTGCCTGCTGCTGTGCCTGCTGCTGCGCCTGCTGAAACGCCTGCTGCTGCGCTAGCTCCTGGGACTGCTCCTGGTACTGCTGGTGTTTCAGTGCCTCCCCCCTCCTCGCCTGCTTCTGTGCTTGCTGTTGCCCTTGCAGCACTTTCAGCCGCTGCAGCTTGTGCTGCTGTGGCCAACGACCCAGAATCAGAATCAGAATCAGAATCGAGATCGGAATCAGAATCAAAATCTGTGTCTCCTGTACTTCTCGATTCTCTCAAAATCCATCCACCAGGCACCTCCTGCAAGTTCCCTTGAGCTGCCTCAACAGATGAATTTCCAATCGCATCATTCCCCCCCACATGAGATCCTCTTTCCAACTCTTCACCAGGCAACCGTTGCAAGCTCTCGTCCAGGTTCTGCCAAGCCACACCCTCCCCTCCACCCTCCCCTCCACCCTCCACTCTATCCCCCTTTCCCCCCTCTCCTGCACTCCCTTTTCCTCTCCTGGTCCCCCCAAGCACGATTCGCTGCAACAGCGTATTCACAGCCATGCCCGCCCTATTCGTTCTCGGGCCATTGTACCGATTACACGAGTCCCACCTCACCGCAAACGAGGGGATAGTGCGGAAAACCACCCGGCCTTTTCCGGGCGCAACAGCGGAAATGCCCCAGCGCACAAACTCCCGCAGGTACACCCGGAGGGCTTTAAGAGGCTGCTTGCAGAAAGAGGCACCCCAGTAGCCTCCTTCAAAGAGGGTGACGTCAGCAGTGGATGAGATGTTGGGGAACTGAGTCGTCCGATTGGTTGTGGCGCCACGATGAATGCACCCGAACTCCCCATTCCTGTAGATCCCATCAATCCAGTAAAAGTTGATCTTCAGCTCCCTCCCCTCCCCATCCTTTGCCAAATAAAACAGATTGTCCCGCCACTTCTTCACTCTCATATCCACCCGTCCCGTGAGTAGATAATACAAGTGCGCTGTGAAATACCGCTGGTGCGAGTCTCCCACAATGCTAATCTCCCGAATGCCCCTCTGCTCCAAAGCAGCAACCCAGCTGCTAGCAGGCAACTCCTTGTGCGCGCAGAAGAACGTTTCCCAGTGGTACAGACCGTTTCTCATCCTCCACCGACCCTGGACCGAGGCTCCCATGCAGGGGTTTCTGGGAAGCTCGGAGTCTGGTTCAGGATCGGCTCGGGATAGGTTCGGGCTGCCTGTGGAAGGGTTTGTCTGTGCTGCTGGCTGTTCAAGCTTGGGAAGGGGGAGGAGGGGTTGTTGTGCGTGTGCGGTGGAGTTGGGTGCAGTGCGGGGCAGAACGGTGAGAGGCCAGGAGACGAGGTCGTGTTGAGCTGTCTTGTTGAGGTGCAGATAGTATAGTGGTGAGAAGTGCAGGTTGGCACAGCCTATGTGCATAGTGGCCCTGCGATGGTTCAAGAGGGAGGGGAATGGAGAGGGGGGGAGAGGGGGAGGGGGGAGGAAACATGAGGCGGGAAGGTGAGGAGCCAGGAGAATAGGTCGTGTTGAGGTGCAGATAGTAGAGCGGTGAGAAGCGCAGGTTGGCAGAGCCTATGTGGACCACAGCCGGTAGTCCAGGCACCTCATGGTAACCCTCATTACTCCTCCATCCCCACCAAAACCTCCCCCAACCAATCCCCACCGCACACCACCCGTTTGCACTCACAGTTATTCCCCTCCATTCCACAGCCGGTACGTCACTCGCATCTCCCTGCAGCGCGGGGGGTCAAGGCAGCGCACGTCCCCCTCACCACTCCCCCACTCCCACGCAAACCTCCCACCAATCGCTCCCCACCACACAGCACCGTTCTGTACTCACAAGTAATCTCCTCCATCCCAGAGGCGGTACGTCACTCGCATCTCCCTGCAGCGCGGGGGGTCAAGGCAGTGCACGTCCCCCGCGCCCATGGCAGGTCCGCGCATTGTAACAGTCACGTCGCGCTTCCACCACCCGCGCTTCCCCGCATGCAGCACCCCCTCCGCCCACCACGCGGGGTCGCGCACGGACAGGCGAAACGAGCAGCGCTGCCCGCGTATGCAGGTGCTGCAGCCGCGCCCGTGAATGGTGACTCCGGCGGGCGAGGGGGAGGAGTAGTCTGCGGAGGGGGAGGGGGAGCGGGGGAGCGGGGGGAGGGGGAGGAGCGGGGAAATGGCATGAAGCGCGCGCGCGGCGACATGCGCAAGCTCGTCCCGAATGGAGGGAGGCAGCTGTAACGGGGAACTGCTCCGAGCAAGGCGAATGAGGGAGCATCACTCCGCCAGAATGGGTGCGAGCATGGGTGCGGGGGTGAACATACGCGCGGGCACGGGCGCAGGAATGCTTGCGGGCATGGGCGAGGGGCATGGATGCGGGGCATGGGCGAGGGGCATGGGCGAGGGGCATGGGCGCGAGCATGGGCGCGAGCATGGGCGCGAGCATCACTCCTCCTCACCTCCTGACGACGTCCAGCACACGTGCTCCCGCTGCGGCTGCTCCGGCCGTGCGTCATTCTCGCCGCCATTCCCGCCGCCATTCCCGCCGCCATTCCCGTAGCTGAAATCACCATACAGACCTCCGACCCCCTCTCCCCCACTTAACACCATTCCCGAACTCTCCCCCTCGAATCCCGCGCACCCCCCGCCGCCACCGTACCCCAGGACGTTCCGTAGATTCCCCATGTAACACCCAAGGCTATTATAATGGAGTTACAATGCTTTTATAATAAATCTCAATACAAGTTGAAGCTCTAACTAGCTCCCAATAGCCTTGGAGGTGTCAATCTTCTTGAAGGAGTTGTTGAAAAGGCTTGAGAGAATTGTGTAGGAAGGCTTGTGAGAGAGCTCTCAATGACTTAGGCAAAACAATCCCATTTCCAATTGTTTTGTTGGAGTGGGAGGTTGAGAATGAGCTTGCTTAGCTCAGACCCCCTCAATACACCCCTTGGGGAACTATCCCAACCATGGTTTCCATGGTGGGATGGTTCCTAGGCTTGGAGCCTATGTGGCAATTGTGTTGGGTTGGAAAACCCAACTTAGAACCATTCAATGGTTGTGTTTAGGATAGAGTAGATTGTAACACTTGTTTGGCAGTTTCTGATTGGTTGGAATTCCAACCTTCAACATTCTCTTGGTTGAGTTGGAAATGTTCCAAACCTCCAAAGTTGAGGCTTGGCAAACCCAAACCAAGTTTCATCCCAACCAACTCAACCATCTTCTCCAACTCTTCCTTTGTCGAGAGAAGTTCTCAACAATTGACTTAAAGAGAGATCGATGGTTGTTAGCTCGGTAGTTAGGGTAATACGTTACACTCCTCCCCCCCCAGGTGGCAACGTCCCCGTTGCCCTAGGGTGCTTCTGAGGACGAGTGCTTCGAGCACGGCGCACCACATTACGACCAGGGTCAACCCCGTCCACTGGTTGTGGGCCTGCTCGTAGAGCCAGGTCTTCCATATACGCTTGAACCGCTGCTTCGGTCAAGTGTTCCTCAGGCTCCCAAGAGTTGTGTTCCGGCCCATAGCCTTTCCACTGAATTAGGAACTCACGAACAGTTTTGCGGCCGCGTTGTCGATCACGGTGCGTTAGCACACGCTCGACTTCGTAAAAGAGTTCCTTCTCGAGAGCGATGGTTGGTGGCGGTAAGTACTTGCCTTCTGCAACGTACTTATTCAACAGAGACACGTGGAAGACGTTGTGAATCTGCAATGTCGCAGGCAATTTGAGCCTATATGCGACCTCACCAACACGCGCAATCACCTCGAAGGGCCCAATCCAACGAGGGAAAAGCTTTCGTGCTCCCGGGATCTTGAGACGAATGTTCTTCGTACTTAGTAATACTTTGTCGCCAACTGCAAAAACGACTTCCCGGCGTTTCATGTCGGCATAGGATTTTTGCCTCTGTTGGGCAAGCTGCAGCCAATGGCGAGCGGACTTCAATGCCGCTTGCTGATTTCCAATAAAGTCCTTTGCGGCAGGGATTTTGAGGTTCTTAATCCCATGCGTCGCGGGGGTTGTGGGGTGCCGACCACAGTTCAGGACAAAGGGTTTCTCATGGGTGCTTTCATGCACAGAATTGTTTACAGCGAATTCCACGACTGGCAACAATTCATCCCAATCGTCCTGAGGTGGGCTTATGAAAGAACGAAGCATTTGCTCAAGAGTGCGGTTGGTCCGCTCTGTCTGTCCATCCGTTTGCGGGTGGAACGCAGACGACATCTTGAGTTTCGTTCCGAGTGTCTTAATGACCTCTTGCCAGAACCGGCTTGTGAAGCGCGGGTCTCGGTCAGACACCATCACACGAGGCAAACCGTGTAAGCGGAAAACGTGTGTCACAAACAACTTTGCCGTATCTTCCGCAGACACGTCAGTCGTCGTGGGCACGAAGTGCACCATTTTGGTCAAGCGATCCACAAACACTAGTATCGCTGTATGACCATCTCGCGTCTTGGGGAGATCGGTGATAAAATCCATCGATACACTCTCCCAAGGTTCATCGGGGATCTCAAGTGGTTGAAGCAGACCACCAGGCTTCTGTGTGCTCGGCTTGTTCCGTGCACACGTGTCACAGCGAGTTACAAACTGCTGGACCTCAATGCCCAATCCCGGCCACCAGTATACATCACTGAGGGCCCACCGGGTTTTCTTGACACCCAGGTGTCCTCCATACTTAGTGGCGTGCACCTCTGCGAGAATATCATTCCGCAGGTTTCCCACATGTGGGACTACAATTTCTTTCTTGTGCCACCAGAGCTCATGCTCCCACAAGAGATTGTTTGTATTCTGTGGGTTCTGAAACCTAGGGTCAATATCATACCCTGCGCGGATGCGTTTCAGAAAACCACCAAAGGCAATCTCGCTCACTCGAGCAGCTGCGAGGATGTTGAAACAAGCAGCAAACACAGCTTCATGTTCCTGATCATCAACACCCGTTGCTGCCCCAATCGGCTGTCTGCTCAGAGGATCAGCCATGTTCGTCGAGCCCGCTCGATATCGAATATCGTAGGTGAACCCACTCAGGAGTTCAGCCCATCGAGCTTGACGGCGGGTGAGTGTGGCTTGAGTGGCAAAATAGGTGTTCGGACAGTGGTCGGTCGTGACCACAAAGTCAACACCTTCGAGATAACATCTCCATGTTCGTAGCGCATGCACAACCGCCAACAATTCTTGTTCGGAAGTTGTATAGCGCTGCTCAGCCGGTGAAAGCTTTCTACTCTCAAATGCCACGGGGCGTCCTTCTTGCAAAAGAACTGCTCCAATCCCTACTGTCGAGGCATCAGTTACCACCTCGTAGGGCTTGGACGGGTCTGGCAAAGCCAGCACTGGAGCATTGGTCAGCATGGTTTTCACCTCCTCAAATGCCTTCTGGCATTGATCGGTCCACTGCCAAGCATTACCCTTACGAGTGAGGGCAGTCAGTGGGGCGACTACGGAGGAATAATTTTCCAAGAAACGGCGAAAATAGTTCGCAAGTCCAAGAAATGATCTGACCTGTCCCACGTCCTGTGGAACGGGCCACTGTTGGACTGCCGCCACTTTCTTTGGATCGACTTTGAGGCCATCGTTGCCTACCAAGTGACCAAGGTATTCCAACTCGCGTTTGTAGAAGTGACACTTCCACAATCGAGCAAAGAATTTATGCTCTCGCAGTTTTCCTAACACCCATTTCAGGTGTTGCATGTGTTCTTCTTCGGTCTTCGAGTACACGAGGATGTCATCCAAGTATACCAGGACGAATTGGCCGATTGCCTCCCGAAACACATCATTCATTGCTCGCTGAAATGACGCGGGAGCATTTGTCAAGCCAAAACTTAACGCACGCCACTGAAAATGCCCGAACGGCGTTCTGAAAGCCGTTTTTGGAACATCTTCTTCGCTGATTCGTAGCTGATGATACCCCTGAGCTAAGTCCAGCGCACTGAACCACTGAGCTCCCTGGAGCCGATCGAACAGATCCTCAATTCGTGGTAGAGGGTATCTGTTCTTCACCGTAATCTTGTTCAAGGCACGATAATCTACGCACATGCGTAATCCTCCGCCCTTCTTGTTAACGAACAAAATTGGTGCTCCGTAAGGGGATGCACTGGGTTCAATCCATCCTTTTCTGAGGTATTCCTCGATCTGTTGTTTGGCCTCTTCGTACTCAGCTGGACTGAGGCGATACAGAGGTCGAAAGGGTGGAACCTTTCCTGGTTCAACAGGGATGGTGTGACCCACTGCGCGGTCAGGCGGAAGTCCATCAGGGATGGTTTCAAACACTTCCTTGAATTCCTCTGCCAGTATTTTCATTTGAGGAGGGAAATCCTCAATTGCTGGCTCCGAGGCCTCGACATTCTCAAGCTGTACCACGAATAGTGTATCAGCCGACTTAACAGAATGCCCGAATTGGTTGGCCAACACACACAGCGCGCTGGGACGTTCAGGCGTCTGTGTTTCAGTGGGCAAAGTATCATTGACTTGCCACTGGATTGCCTTTCCGTTCTTGTTGAACGAGACAATGTTGTACTGGAAGTCCAGAATAACTTCGTTGGCTCTCAACCAATCCATGCCCAGGATGAGGTCGACTCCTGACAAAAGTGGTAGGACATATACGCGAACTGTTTCGCTATAGTCCTGTACTTTCATGTCGATATGTGTCTGTCCTTTACTTGGAATGACACGATCGTCACCCAAGCGGATGGGACACGACGGTCCTACAACGAGGACGTTGCGTGTCGTAACCCAAGTTTCATCAACAAGGGAAACCGACGCGCCTGTATCGACGAGAATCCTTGCTTCGTCCCCATTCATGCGTCCAGATAACAGTAGATTCTGTTGAAATCTTGGACGGATGGGACAAGCGACAACAAGTTTAGGAGGTCGAAAGTACACCCTAAATTTGTTGTGAGCGCGTCCAAACCTTTGGGATGTGGTCCACCAAACATGGTGCCCCTTGTCCCATGTTGCCAGGATATGCCATTCGTGAAATCGGCGGAACAACTCTCCTTTCACGATTCGAGTCACCAATCCCACTGACGTGAGCGGGTGCTCTTGGACACAACGGTCCACAATATCCATGATTGCTGGCAACTCGTTGAACGAGCAAGAGATGATTGAAATTTTATCTCTCAAGGATTCAATTGAGATGTTTTCAAGTGGGTATGATCGAGTTTTAAAAACAGATTTTTCATTAATAGAAGAGGCATACAAACAAGCGATTTTGCATGATGCAAGCTTCTCTAGCTTTAGCAAATCCTCATCACGAAGGACATAAGCCTCATCTACTCGATCTCGCTCACCAACTAGGTACCCACCCCCTAGTTGGACTTCGGAAAATCCTTCGGGCCCGAAGGGCCAGAACCATCCGGCTTCTTGCCCTGGTTGGGCTTGCCGGAGTTCTTGACGGACTTCCTCCAACGGCAGTGATAGGACTTGTGCCCGAGCTTGCCACAGATGCGGCAGCCTGCCGGGGGCTTATCCTCATCCTGAGGATCCTTGGCAGGCCCAGCATGGGCCCTCTTGGACTGAGTCCCAGAGGATTCCCCCTTCTGCTGATAGGGCCTCTTCCAAGAGCCACTGCCCCTGTGTGCCTGAGT